ATTGTCAGCTCTTTCCTCTTCCTCTAGAATCCTAAGAAGGATATCGTTCGGAATTTTAAACCCCCTACGGAGGGGTCCGAGATAGTGCTCGGGCATCTTTGAAGGGTACTCCAGACCCTAKCCYGAGGTGGAGGTATCACTATCCTCTTCATCATCTGAAAACCTAAAGTTCTCTATTTCATTTAGCTCAGACTCTAATCTACGAGCTAGGACCTCCCCAGAATCGCTTGGTTTGGGGGGCGAACTACTTATGGTCCGACCTACACTACCTAGGCTATCACTACTGGAGGGGGAAGACAAGAAAACCATCATATTCGAAAAAAAAAGAAAAGCGAAAATGACTGACCTACAGAAGGTTCGAGCTGGTTTCAGATCGAACTCCAGAAATTCAGGAAACGTAAGGTTTGACCTGAAGTTTCGGGACTATTTATAGCTAATCGGAAAAATCTCTGCGCCGTACACGTGTAATCAACAAGCGGCTAGGATCTTCTCGAGATACGCAACGACGAAATACTTGAGTGCTCCGACAACCTGGCAGATCGAAACATCTTCCGCAACGGTCATATTCCCTCTACAAATGAAAAGTCGCCACGTGTCCAGAATAGATTCGAATGAACTTCTCTGACAGGTTGAGATCGAACCTGACAGAGAGGGGGCCAATGTTTGGGGGTAAACATACCCAAGACACGTGGAGGACCCTTATTGGTGTTTGAAGAAACTAAATAAGAGGGATTACCAAGGTCCACCTCGGCCCAGCCGAGGAGACCGGGTTCGCCCATTATGAAAGGCTAAGTATGGGCACCAAGGTTCGACCTGACTGGGGTCCGACCTGCTCGGAACCCGACAGGTCAGATATGAGAAAAGACATATAACCGCCGGTCGTGTGTACTGTCRGATCCATCACCTATAAATAGAGGGCTTCATTTCACGCTCAGGTATCGAATCTCACCTCGAACTAAATACGGAGTCCGATCTATACTGACTTGAGCGTCRGAGTGYTTATCCTCTTGTGCAGGTCCACCCGAGTKTTYAGGTCGGAACCGGAGACCGGGTTCGAGCTTGATTCGTGAAGAACCGTTGTGCAAACCCTTGCATAAACACCTTGAATGCATGATGTTGCTTCTCGGGTTCTCTCCTACGTGGGTCTCTCAAATTATGAGTTGTATAACAATCGTTCGTTTCTCGCCTGAAAGGTCTCATTAATCCATCGCGAGGGATCAGGCAGGGTGACCCTCTCTCACCTTACTTGTTTCTTATTTGTGCTAAGGGTCTCCCGATGATGCTCTGTCATGCTGCTACTACTGGAAATATTACAGGTACCGCTCCTGCCTTAATTGGTCCGGTTATATCTCACCTTCTTTTTGCAGATGATAGTCTCATCTTCCTAAAGTCCTTAGAGCTTGAATGTACCTTATTGAAAGGTTTACTTTTGACTTATGGGAAAGCCTCGGGTCAATGCATAAATTTCTYCAAGTCAGCCCTCCTTTTCTCTCCAAATGTTCACCCTGAGCGCCAACACTTCCTCTAGTCCATTTTGAATGTACGACTTGTTAACAACCTTGGATCTTATCTTGGGCTCCCTTATTTCTTTACTCGCAGGAAGGGYTCTAACTGGAGTTTTTTAAAGGACAAAATTTGGCAAACAATGCAATGCTGGAAGTGTTCCTTTTTCTCGGTGGRTGGCTAAGAAGTTTTGATCAAAAGTATTGGTCGAGYGATTCCTTCCTATGCAATGAGCTCCTTTCATTTGCCAAAAGGATTAGTAGAGAAGTATCTTAGATGTTTGCCCGGTTTTGGTGAGGTTCTACGACGACTAAAAGGAAGATACACTGGATGAGTTGGGAGAAAACGTGCCTCCCAAATGAGCTTGGTGGCCTAAACTTTCGAGACTTTGAGGGTTTCAACCAAGTTTTATTAGCCAAGCAGTTTTTGAGGATTCTCCAAAATCCAAACCTTATTGTTTCAAGATTCCTAAAGGCCCGCTATTTCAGGGATTGTACTGGGCTCCAGGCTACRGTTTCCTCCAGATCCTCCTATTTCTGGAAGAGTTTCATTTGGGGAAGAGAGCTTCTATCTAAGGGCCTTCGAATGAGGGTGGGAGATGACTCTTCTATTAATGTTTTGTCTGATCCTTGGATTCCAAGACCTTTCACTTTTAAAACCTTTACCACCAGTTCTTCAAGTTTGATTTATRAGGTGGCTAATTTTATCAATGGAAGTGGGTCTTGGGACGAGCAAAAGGTCTCCTCTTTCTTTTGCCYCGAAGACAGAGAGTATATTTTGGGAATTCGTATCAGTAAATCCAATCGACCTGATTCTTAACTTTGACATTTTGACAAGAGAGGGATCTACAATGTCAAGAGTGGCTACAAATTGTTTATGAACCAAAAGTACCCTATGGCGACGAAATTGCAATTCGTCGCCAAAAGTTTTGCCTCTAAATTTTTAAATTAGCTAAACTTTTGGCGACAAATTCAAAAGTCGACGCCAAAAGTACCCTATAGCGACGAATTCAAGGTTTCGTCGCCAAAAGTTTTGAGAAATGGCGGGAATATTACCACCCAATTTTTTCTTGGGGAACTTTTGGCGACGAATTCAAGGTTTCGTCGCCAAAGGTTTTCAGAAATTGGGGGAATTTTACCGCCTAATTTGTTTTGGGGAACTTTTGGCGACGAAATTTGGGTTCGTCGCCATAAGTTTCGATAAAATTAAGATTTTTTATTCATAACTTTTGGCGACGAAACCGTGAATTCGTCGCCATATGATACTTTTGGTGACGAATTCAAGGTTTCGTCGACAAAAGTTTTGAGAAATGGTGGGATTTTTACGGCCCAATTTTTTTGGGGAAACTTAAGGAGACGAAATTAAGGATTTTGGGCAACGGATTTTTATTTCATCGCCATAGATCACGATTTAACCCCSTTCATTTCTCTTTCATTTTTACTTGTTTCTTCCTCCCTCTCCCTACTACTTCCTCTCCCTCCCTCCACCGCSTCTATCATCATCGTTCCCTCCTTCCACAGTCACCACTGTCTCTCCCTCCCTCCATCGGTCGTGGATGTGTCCTCTCTCTCCTGTTGTTCTCATCCCACACCACCACTCTTCTTCTACTTATTCTAAGGTATTAATCCACACTTGTTTTTGTTGTTATTTTTTTTCAAGTAATCTGAGTATATATATATTGAAATCATAGGATTTCATCGTTGTGCTATCGTCATTGCTTCACTTTGTCGTRTCTCTCCGTTGTTCTTCGTCGGTAAAATTCTAAAACTTGTTCTCTCTCTTTCTCTATGTTGTTGGACACTCAAAATCAAATTAATGTTATTTTTAAACTACTTATTCATTTTGTAATTCAATAA